TCATCTATTCCTCCTTCCATTTTTTTTTGCAGGATTACAAAATTCTTCAGTATGTACATCTGATGACATTTCTGTTTTACACATAATTGTTATGCCATTATCACATCTAACAATATTAAGAATAATTCATTTATAGTACCTAATACTGGACTTAGTCTATAATCTGATTTTCCTGACTGTCCCAAGGGTTCGTTTCATAGGTGCTTTGGTCAAAAGAGAACACAAAGTCCACACATTGCATTTCATGATTATGATTCTTAAATCTCTTTCACTCTTTTATAATTGGTCCCCTGCTTTTCCATGCGATTGATTTGATAGAGAAGCAAGGTCATTTTTCTTATTGACTGTTCAACATTCTAGATTTGACTGATTGCTTCCTTGAGGTGGTTTTTAAACTTGATCCTTTGTCCCTTGTATTTCTTATTAGGTCTAGAGGCTTGATTAGATTCAGGCAAGAAGACCTTATATTGGTTCTGGGTACTGATTTTGTCATATCATGACACACATAATGTCTGGGTGTTGGATTTTGAGGTTTAGTTTTTTTCTTTTTCTTTCTTACTTAGTTGCTCTCTCTTATTGGCAAGGTTCAAAATTATGCTACATTTACTTCCTTTGTCCAACCAGAAAAAAAAGTCAAGATCTACATAGACAAAATGACTAGGCAGAATACCAGTGGTTCTGAATCTCTTGGACAATCTGTATTTGAAGAAAGCTTCTCCTGCTTCGTACACAAAGAAATTGACTGTACAAGGGAAAATGTATGAGATATGAACACTTAGGGATTACTGAATGTAAAATTACAAAAAGCACATCACTAATTACTATATTTAGAACCTAAACTATTAAAAATCAGGGTGAAAATAGCTGAAATGTAATGAGTCATTTGCTAATTATTTAGCTTATGGATTTCCAATGCCATTTGCTTCTAGCCCTTTTCTTCTTCCTTAGGGAATTTTTGGTGGCACTGCTTTTTAGCACCTCCAGAAACTATTATATGCTGATAACTGACCATAAATTGTACATGTGGAGAGACACATAAGAGATTATGACTCAGGATCCATGCTGTGTTATTGACTGAGATAAACCGTGAGTGGATTGCACCACAGTTGAGGACTTTCAGAGCAGAAAGTAGTTAGAATTCTGCTGACTAAGTAGTATGCTATCTATTGTTTGGTAAAGAATTAGAAACCTAAAGCAAGAAGGTGAATATGCCTCTTGAAGAGAGACAGCATATCACCAAGCTTCTCAGGTGCTAGATGTGTTCAGTTATGGGTCCAGCCCATGGGTTTGCAGCCATGACTGTACCTGGGCAGCTTTTAAACTTACTGATGCCTGGACTCTACCCCAGAACTGAGTCTGGGTCTCTGAGGGTGGGTTCCAGGCATTGGTATTCTGAAAAATCTCTTTAGGTGATTCTAATATGCAGCCAGGTCTGAAAATCTTCAATCTAGCCAGCAAACAAGAGGTACCATTTAAAGGTCTTACTCTGTGCAAAAGACTGCGCTGGAAATCTCCTGCATATAAGGAAAATGACGCTTGGAGAGACGTTATTCACTCACTGTTTTGCTACAAAGAGTTTCACACTCATTCTATCTGGATTCAGAACTATGTGTTTTGAAATATTTTTGAAAGTGACCAGAAGTATGAAATGAAATTTACATCATAACTTAGAACACAGAAGATAATGAAACATAAGTTCAACAAATAATCTTAAGTGTGATGCACTTTAATATTTTTATTTTAATTAAAAAAATACTAGTCAAAACCTACTAAAATGATTTCATGACCTGCTGTTTGAAACACTCATAAACCATGACAGTGCAGATTTCCTTTCAGTTCCAAACACATGGCAAGATCTTTTCCCCCTCAATCCTGCTCATATTTTCTCTTCTTACCCGGAAAACCATTATGTTTTTTCTCTGCATTTTTAAAAGGCCATCAGGTTGGTTCCTGGCTGAAAAGCATTTCCCAGACTACTTCAGCTCATTGTGTCTCTTATTTCAGTGCCATAGCTAACACGCAGAGCTCATCACACTTTTATTTTTTTTACACTAAATCATGTGATATACTGTGATGCTCTGTAATTGTCCTATATCTTAGATGGTTATGTCTCCTTGACTAAATTTAACCACTCTGAAGGCAGTGATCATGTTGCATGCTTTTGCTTCTATACTTTTCGAGATGCCTAGCACAGAGCAGGGCAGATCACAAAAGCTAAAAACTGTCTTGTGACCCTAGGCAAGTCAACCTCTTACGTTTTATTTCTTCCTCCTTAAAACGAAGGGGGCTGTTTTAGGTTAATCCTAAAGTTTCCTCCAGGTTTTTAAGTCTATTTGTGTATAATATCTATGAACTTCTTCTATAAATACAGAAGTGAAGAATACATTAAACATTTTTATGAGCAACCAAAGGAAAGTTCTCACGTGGGAAGAAAAAAGGCTGAAATTATTCGGCAGTTTTGGTAGGCAAAATATAAACTCCTCTGTGCTATCTCTGAAAAGATAAAGAAGAACTTACTGGAGTTTGGAAATGGAATTGGGCCCTGGGTCATTTGGATTCTGATATGTGATTATTCATAGGCCGCATTTCTTTTTCAAGTTGAATGAATATATGGGTAGCAAGAAATATCCATGGACTCTTTATATTATTATGAGTTGATCACATAATAACACAAGGCTTAACAATGTGGGGTTGGGCGGGGGCGTGTGGAGGCAGAGGTAGCATGATTTAGGGAAAAAATTATTGAATACAATTACAGTTTAGGTATTGTTTGTTTGCAAGTGGTTTGTTAACATCACTGAGGCCCTTCCGAGTGGCTTCTGAGGTGAAAGGATGTGGCTGGCTGGGTCAGTTACTTGCATTCTTCTGAACCAGAGGCTATAGGCAGAGTAGCCAGAGAGGTAGGTGCTGCGTGTATGTGTGTGTGTTAAGGAATGGGAGGTGTGGGGAATAGACCATCTATGGACTTTACCTGCTTATTATTATACCAATTATACCAATCCATGGTTATAATGATTAGTTCAGAGACGGGCATAGAATCTAAGCAAGTCCAATGAGACTCATTCCTTGGCCTGCTTTCTTGTTAATGGGACCATTTGCTAAGGAGGTGGGACAAGGGGGAAAACCTGGGGCTGTAGGTCTAGGCCCTGATTAGAGAAAATAAAGCCAGTGTAATGAAAGCACAACCACGATTTGAAGAGAAACAGAGTCCTAACACTCTTTGAACACCTGGAGAAAAGCAAGGATTTTTATTTTTTTTACCTTTTTTTTTAAAAAGCAACATTTTATTAACTTATTTATTTTCATATCTTTATTGGAATATAATTGCTTTACAATGTTGTGTTAGTTTCTGTTGTACAACAAAGTGAATCAGCTATAAGTATACATATATCCCCATATCCCCTCCCTCTTGAGCCTCCCTTCCATCCTCCCTATCCCACCCCTCTAGAAAATCAAGGATTTTAAAAAGCATTGTTTTTTTCAGCCAGTTTTACTCTTGGGATTTATAAGCATATGAGTCAATATATTTCAACCTCCTTTGCTGTAGGCTTTCAAAAGTCAGTTTGAGTAGGGTACCTATTACATCCAACTATCCTGACTATACAGGAGTTTATCATAAAACCAGTATAGCTTCACTCTTGCTCACTGCTAACCTCCTCTCTCATCTTGTCCTTTGGTTAAACAGGGCCATGTCTCCTGCTTTATAGAGCCCAACATTCGTTTCCTCTCCACCTGGTAAGAAAGGTTTCTCCAACCTTCTGCGCATGGTCTTCCAGGTGTCTTCCTCCACAAGTTAACACGTGCTTGTTTCACAACAGCAAGTGGCAGGAGAGGAAAAAAATGAGGTCCAGTCTTAGGCAAGTGATGCGACTGCCTTTGTGTCTATTACAAAATACCTCTCCCTCAGAGTCCCCACCCGCCCAGCACCCCCATTCTTTGGAGCCCAGGCTGGATTTTAATCTTCAATTGCCTGTCCACCTCCACCTCAGCCAGAGGACGCTGGGCAGGGTACAAATAACACAAAGACTGTGCTGAGGTCCCACAGTACTAAGAAGAAGCAAGAGCTGCAGTCAAGAGGTAGAAAAACAAGCCCACACCCACACCCACTGTTACTGTGGTCACTTCCTAGGGTGTTGATAGCTGCTGATGCTGTGTCTCTGGGCATCGCCACACTGGGCATATCCCGCTGTGCAGTGATCACAAATGTTGATGATAGCTGGAAAAACAGTATCACTTGTCACTTGAAAGCAGTATTTCCCAGTACCATTTAGATCTTAAGGTTGATATCTTTTCTTAAGGGCCTTCCTGAATTCAGTTTGGTGATCTTTACAGCCAGTCTTTGCTGATGCAAGTCAATAGTTCAAGACGTCCAGTTGGAGGCCACCTGGCCATTGGCCATTGGAAGAGAACAGAGCACATGGTAAAGCAGGGCATTTGGTAAGTCTCCCCTGACACACCAGTGACACCTTCAGGGGTCAGTCTAGGGACCCCAGCTGGTCTTTAGTTTTTTCGGCCTCCTGCACTCCTGGTGGTGGTGGGGGACTCTCAACACTGTGTTGGAGACAGGAAGAAAAAGCAGGAAACATGGGAGGAAACGCAATTCCACTGGGCAGTCTCCAGCGGCGCGCACGGGCTTCGGGGGCGTAGGTGTGGGCGGTGCCTCTGTGGAGGCGGGAAGACAAGCCCCTAAGGGGGATGGGGCGATTAGGAGAAGGGGCGAGGTTCCAACACCATCGTGGGCACAAGCCAATGGCGAGGGCGGCCCGCTGGTGCCGGGTCCCAGCACTTGCCCTGTTTTGGCCCAGGCGGAGGACTGGGGCAGCCCGGGTTCTGGCCCCTGGAATCTCTCCGTGTCTGCAGGCTCCCTCCCTATTTTCTTGCTTCCTCCCCCCTCGCCGCCCGTCCTAAAACGCGGCGCCTTTAAGAGGCAGCTCGGTTACCCTGGGGGCGGAACCCCTCGGCAGATCGCGAGGCGGCGGCGCTCGGCCGCGATGCTCCTCACTTTCTGCTCCAGCTGCCGTCGCCGCCGCCGCCGCCGCCGCCTGGATCGCCACCGCCATCCCCGCCTCCTCTTCCTCCTCCTCCTCCTCCTCCTCCTCTGCCTCGAAGCGTCGCTTTCTGCAGCAGAGGAGAGAAGTGCTATGTCAGGAAAGTTCCGGGAGGGACTGGCTGGGGCCATGCTCCCCGGGCTCTCCCGCAGGCGCCCGCGCGCAGCCCTTTGTATGAGGTGAGACTTGGGGTCCCTGGCCCCAGGGACAGGTAGCCGCCCGCGGGGAGCGCTTTGATTCGTCGCGGTGGGAAGGGTGTGCGGTTGGGTGGAGTGTGCGGTGGGGGACGAGGCTGGTGAGACCGAAGTTGTGCCGGAGAAGCTCCGGGTTTTCGGGAAGGTTTTTGCAGCTGGACTAGAGGGATTTCGGCAGCCAGCGCCACACGGTGGGGCCCGGCCGGGACTCGGTGTCCCCGGGTCCCGCCTCGCCTCGCCTCCCGACGCCCCCTGCCCCGTCCCCTGCCCGCCCGAGCGGTGAGGCCTTCGAAGAAACCGCTCCGCTGCTGGCCGGACCCCGGTGCCGGGTTTCTCTCTGCCGGGCTCTCCCGTCGAGATGCTAAGCGCTGGGAGTGAGAGGCAAGGGATGGAATCCTCCTGAACTTTTACACTGTGGGCTCCTCACTCTTCAGGGGTGAAATTCACCTCGTTTGCCCAAGTCCGAGGGCTCCTTCGAGCTCCACCAGTTCTGAGAGGTTGCCTTTTACTTGTGGGTGAGCTTTCCGCGCTGTGGCTCTTTCAGCCTTGGTCGGTTTTCAGCGTTGCACTGATTTTCGTCCGCCCTCCTCCCCTTTTGGGAAACATTTTTTTTTTTTTAAGAAAAAAAATATCTTGGAGGATTCGGGTGCTAAAACAAACAAACCAACCACCACTACAACAAAACCCAACAATGCATTTTTGTGAAATTTACCCCCCGGGGCTGACCTAAGTATTCCAAGTGATCGTTTAGTCCCCATGAAATATTTAGTGTTGGTCTTAACACTTAATGAAAGGCAAAGATCACTGTAGTAGGATGTAGGTTTTTTTTTTTTCTTCTTTCAGTGAGGTGAGAAGAGGTTTCAGTCATGTTTTTTAAAAATTTCAATCATGTTTTTAAAAGATTTTTCTTTTTGTTTATTGGTTTTCATTATAGCTTAGATTAAGAAGGCTCCCATTGATTTTAGAAGTAATATTTCTAGAATCATAAATAAAACCTGATGTTTCTTGCATAATCCGACATTGCTTCAGACAGTTTTACTCCTGGATGAGGTATGTAGTAGGTGTAATTATTTGATGAAACCTAATATATAAGTACATTTATTGCCCAAGTGGCTAAGTTTTCTTTTTTCATATATCCTGTGGGTGAAGGAAGCCCATTTTCTCACACCCCCAGGTCTCTACCACAAATGTCTGTTCTTGTTTCTGTCTTCGTCACTCACATTGTATACATCTGATGACAGGGACAAATCAGAGGTGCTGATGGCAAGTCCCTATATTTTGTGAAGTGTCGCATAGCCAGAGTTGTAGTGATGTAATTGATTATATCGTCCAGATTATTTTGAAAAATTAGAATGTGGGAGCTTGTTTAAAGAAAAGAGTGTCATGAAGTATTTAAATTCTCAAGTATATGCTTTACATATAACTTGTGTGTAGAAAGATATATTACCAAAATAGACGGGGAATACTGTAAGAGACAACTTATGTGCAGTGGGGAAGTTTTGAAAGAAAATCATTCCAGAATAAACATTAATATAATAACATTTTGTTTGGGATATAGGTTTTCATCTCTGAGCATGGTTTTGTCACTCTGTTGTCAAATATACCAGAATTGAAACTTTAAAAAAAGCACTCTCCATCTCAAGCATTTTCTGAAAATTTGTAGCAAACTGAGCATTTTTGGAAAAAAATTTGCTTAGGAAAAGTCACATACTTAAAGCCCTAACTGCAGTTACTATTTTATCTTAAGTTTGCTGGACTCTGGGCCAGAAAGTACCGCATTCAGTAAGAATTTGGGGTTCTAATGTGGATGTGACTTATTTCCTAGAACTGTGTGGGTTAATGTGAGTACCTTGAGATTTGGTATGTGACTTATTTGATTGAGATGATTGTTTTGTGAATAATCCTTTTTGAAACTAAAGATATATATTCATATGTATATCACATATACATATCACAAATATATATATCACAAAATCCATATCTATTTATAATAGGGGTATACATATATTTATGTATCTCTATATATCTATAGAAGGAAAAACTGTTCAGGGACTCAGTAATACTCCTTCACTAAGAAGAGCATGTCTGAAAGATCAAAAGCTAAAAACATTTCTTGCTACGGCTTGTCATTTCTTCAGCAATTTCATCACTATCAGTTAAGTTAAAAAAAAATACTGTATTTTCCAGCATGTTCTTGTTCTCACACAAGGCTTGGACCAGGGAGCCATATGCCAATGATCCTAACCGCATATTTTTTAAATGAACTGAATTATCACACCAATGGATGATTGAATCAGGCATTTCTTAAGCTTCAGCAATTTAACTCCAGTAGAAGAATCCCTGGTAAAATTTAGCTTGTTAATATAGTGTTTTCTTCTTTTAACACTTCAATAATTACCTTCAGGGCATTCCCCATAGGTCTGGGTCTTAGAGAGTAGACATCAAAGGCATGGGAGGCAAACCTTGGGTAAGTTTTGGTACTCCAATTTGTGAAATGATGTCTTGAGTATTTGATTTGAGAGAGATACTCATTTATACTTGGGAAAATAATACCTATGATACAGTGCTCCAATCTATAGGCAAAGCTTTGGAATATTTCTTATCATGTTCCACAGCTGAAGCTGCTTCATTTTAGCATATGTATGAAAGTTAGAAATGAAATGATTTTTTAGACTTTTTTTTCATTTGCTAGACATTTACCAGAAATATGTTTATATTTGCTACAAATGCCCTTTACTTTATCGCATATGGCAATTTTTTCTTTTTCCTTTTTTTTTTTTTTGCTACTATGATGTGTATATTTAGGGTGAGTTCTTAGTGTTTACTTGAAACAGACAGTACCATGTTTCACAGAGTTTATGTTGTGTCTCTTCAGCTTAAAAAAATAACATTTGAAATGTTTGACTATGAACATGAGATCACAGACTTTCAGAACTGATGGGATCTTGGTCAATTATAGTTTCAGTTTCCTGGGAATTTTCTGTTTAAGGTCAGATGTGGCCCTGATTTGAACTGGATGATGCACAAATAGGTACTTTTGCAACCACATAACATGGAGAACATTCCAAATAATTTGCAGTGTGGGCATGCTTTAGTGTTTAGTTGGCTTGAGGCAGTGTGCCATTGTAAAAAATGGTTTTTGAAGCTGACAGCAAGCTGTTTCACTTTTTGAGTTTGACACATAGGATGAAGTGCCTTTTAGCCTCTGTGCCAGTAAATATGGACAGGATTGGAAAAAGTAATTTGTTCACATTTCTGTATATCAGAAGATTCAGAGAACTCAAGCATGAAACTAGCTTAATATACTGGAAAACTCATTCATATTCATTAAAAATGTAATGAAGAGTTGAGAATGTTGGATTGTAACACAGCTTTCAGGTCATGGGCAAAAGAGTGTATATTTGCAGTTAGTAGGGTAATCTAGTGGTCATCTCTTGAAATTAATAATAACACTATTATTAATAGTATTTCCTTTGAGTGATAATCCTCCCAGGCCCAACTTTGATTAAAAAACATCCCCAGCCAGACACTGTACCAATCACCTAGCAAATATGTTAATTGATTCTTAAATAATTTTAAGTTGAAACCCTTATGCGTCATTGTAGTCATAAGCTTTATGTACCTTTGGGGTTTTTGACCAAAGTTTCTTGGTTAACTTCTTCTCTATCAATTGATGAAGCCCAATCTATATCACTAAAGCGTTTAAAATTATTTTAGGCACATTTTTTTATGTGAAAATTTCTAAGGATTTGCCTTGGGAAGGGAGTGCAGAAGGGACATGATTCTTTATTGTAGCCCTTACCTTCCAAAGGAAGGTGCCTTCATCTTTTCCTGTCTTTTTTTTAAACAAAAACAAATGCATAGGTAATTTTAGAGAAAGAACATTTGCAGGCATTTAAAGATGCTTGAAGTTTCAATCAAAATAAGGGTTTCAGCTCAAAGTTACCTAAGAATCAGTGAACGTTTGTGCCAGGTGTTGGTTACAGTTTTTGGTTGAGGGTGTTTGCTGCTGATCCAAGTTGATCCTGGGAAGATACAGATTCAAAGGGAGTTGGAATGGAAAGGGGCTAATTCCAGGCATAGCATCTATTGCCTTCCAGAGGGAAAAATGTTTGCCTAAGTGTGTACTTCTATAAAATTCACTTTTTATCATTGTAGCTTAATTTTTCCGTTTCCTCCATGCTATATATGAAGTGTATAGTGTCTTCCTGTTCCATTTTTTTTTTTTTTTTTTTTTGCTGTACGCGGGCCTCTCAATGTTGTGGCCTCTCCCGTTGCGGAGCGCAGGCTCAGCGGCCATGGCTCATGGGCCTAGCCGCTCCGCGGCATGTGGGATCTTCCCGGACTAGGGCACGAACCCGTGTCCCCTGCATCGGCAGGTGGACTCTCAACCACTGCGCCACCAGGGAAGCCCCCTGCTCCATTTTTGATTAACCTTGCACTTCTAAAGTTTCACACTGTTCAGCACTAGCAGAAAGTCTGTTCTTTAAGCCTTTGAGCTTGTTCCCAGCAGTACTTTTCAAATGTGTTCCTCTTATTTTGAATTATTGAGTTCTTTAATGATACGTTATGAGTTTTGAATTTAAGATTCCTCCATCTTCCTTATTAGGCCTTGGTTGAATTTGCTCCTACTTAAAGGTGCAGTGATGTTGGTCACTTCTTATTTTTGTGCCTATATTTCATGTACAGTTGCTATTGTGAGGTTTCAAATCTTTATTCTTTATTCATACGCATGGAAAATTTAGAAAATCCAGACAAGCTAAAAAACAAGAAAAAAAAAGGAAAAGGAGGGCTTCCCTGGTGGCGCAGTGGTTGAGAGGCCGCCTGCCGATGCAGGGGACAAGGGTTCATGCCCCGGTCCAGGAGGATCCCACATGCCACGGAGCGGCTGGGCCCGTGAGCCATGGCCGCTGAGCATGCGCGTCCGGAGCCTGTGCTCCGCAGCAGGAGAGGCCACAACAGTGAGAGGCCTGTGTACCGCAACA